TTGGAGATACAAAGGCGATTCCTACCAGAAGGCCACGTGGTGCCAGGGTCAATTTACGAGTGCAAGAAGTTGCTATGTGACTTGGGCTTGGGGTACGAGCTCATTGATGCATGTAAGCATGATTGTGTACTATTCTGGAAGGAGAATGCTCACTTGGAAAAATGTCCCACGTGTCAAGCATCTAGGTACAGAGTAAATGATAGCAAGGGTAAGAAGATCCCTCACAAGATATTGCGTTACTTCCCATTGACACCTAGGTTGAGAAGATTGTACATGTCTAGGAAGACGGCAAAAGACATGAGATGGCACAGTGATAAACGTATGGATGATGGTGTAGGGAGGCATCCGGCTGATTGTAAAGAGTGGAAGGAATTTGATTTGCATTATCCAGAGTTTGCCCAGGAGACTCGCAATGTTAGGTTGGGCCTAGCCACCGATGGGTTCAACCCTTTTGGGAACATGAGCACTTCCTATAGCATGTGGCCTGTCATACTCATGCCCTATAACCTCCCACCTTGGAGATGTATGAAGGCCCCATTTTTCATGATGTCCTTACTTATTCCTGGACCTAATCAACCAGGGACTGATATTGATGTCTACCTAAGGCCATTGATTGATGAGTTGAAGGAGTTATGGGAGAATGGCGTGATGACTTACGATGCCTCCACTGAACAGACCTTCCGGATGCATGCAGCTGTAATGTGGACCATAAATGACTTCCCTGCATATGGTGACTTATCCGGATGGAGAACTAAAGGTTATTTGTCTTGCCCTCCTTGTAATGATAATCCATTGTCACGCGGGTTGATCAGTAAGATTGGGTGGGTGGGTCATCGAGCTTACTTGCCTGATAACCACCTTTGGAGGAAAGACAAGAAGTTTGATGGTTTAACTGAGCTTAGAAAGAAATCCTTGGATTTACCGGTGGAAAAAGTAATGGCTCAATTGGATCAATTGCGGGAAGTCAAGTTTGGAAAGGATCCTACCAACAAGAAAAGACCACGAGAGTCTGAAGAATTGAATTGGACAAAGAAAAGCATAATGTGGGAGCTACCGTATTGGAAGAAATTAAACCTCCGACACAATCTTGATGTCATGCACATTGAGAAGAATATTTGTGAAAACTTTTACGGGACGATGTTGGCCATAGATGGGAAAAACAAGGACACGTACAAAGCACGTGATGATTTGCAAGAAATGGGCATAAGGCAAGAATTGCATCTACAGAGGAAAGATAACGGATCCGTTGTAAAGCCTCGGGCAGCCTACACATTGGATTCTCGACAAATAGATGGTTTTTGTGAATTCTTGAAGTCGATTAGTTATCCAGATGGCTATGCAGCAAACATCTCAAGATGTGTGACTTCTAAAAATGGAAGATTATCAGGCATGAAAAGCCATGATTGTCATGTCCTGCTTCAGCGACTTCTACCAATTGGCATGCGTGGTTTTGTGAACAAGGAGATCTGTACAACACTATTTGAGTTGGGCAACTTCTTCCAAGAACTGTGCTCAAAAACATTAAGGCAGACTGATTTGGAAAAAATGGAAGAACGAATTGTGCTCATACTTTGCAAGTTGGAGAAAATTTTTCCTCCAGCTTTCTTTGATGTGATGGTCCATTTGGCTGTTCACTTGCCCCGTAAGGCCATGTTCGCTGGATCGGTGCAATATCGATGGATGTATCCAATCGAAAGGTAATCATTATGAACATATGGTTGTTTATTAATTTGTTATAACTAAACTATTGTGCAAAAATCCACCCATAAAAGACTAATGTTTAAGAAGTAATTTTCTTGCATCAAGAAGCATAATTTTCATTGTCAATTTTTGTTGAAGGTTTCTCAGGACTTTGAAAGGGTATGTCGGTAATAGAGCACGTCCAGAAGGTTCTATCGCTGAGGCTTACATTGTCAAAGAGTGTCTTACTTTTTGTTCAATGTACTTAAAAGGGATTGATAAACCTGAACGAAATGACGATGGTGGTGAACGTGGTCCCGGGATGGAGGTCTTCACCCAAAATGCTCATCTATTCTCACCTATCACAAGGGCTCTTGACCCTTCACAAAATCAACGAGAAATGGCTCACTGGTTTGTGTTGTACAATAGCTTTGAGGTGGAGCCATATATTGAGTATGTATTTAAGTTTAATTACGTTTATGCATAATCGTTCCATTTTGTTTCGAACTCTCATAGTTAATTACGTATATCACATTTCCTTGGGTAGGGAGCAGAAGAATATTTTACATAATCTACAAGGACATGACATAACTCGGGTACAACGAGAAGAATTTCCAAAATGGTTCAAAAATCGTGTAAGATATACTAAAGAAAATAACTGAATACAATTGTTGAAACTTTCAATTCACATTAACTTAGTACACTTGTTATATGGTGTTTTATGTAGATGAATGATTTGCGAACGAAAGGGTCACCTGAAGCAACTGACGAATTGTGGTCATTAGCAAATGGTCCTGGATCGATAATTGACTTTTATTTTGGGTGCATCTACAATGGAATTCGATTCCATACTAGAAACCGTGAAAATCGTCGTACTTACCAAAATAGTGGGTTGGTCGTAGAAGGGGACCATAATGGGAACCGAATTAATTTTTACGGCTACTTGTGCAAAATATGGGAATTGAAATACTTGCATGAGGGTACAGTGGTTTTGTTCCAATGTGAATGGTATGACACCGGTCACAAGAATAGAATATACTCCGATGAACATGTCACAAGTATTGATGCTACAAGACTTTGGTATAAAGATGACCAATTTGTTCTACCTAGTCAAGTAAGACAAGTATTCTACGTCAATGATACCAACAAAGGCAAAAATTGGAGAGTCGTTGAACGTGTTAAGCATCGGGGAGTATGGGATATACCAGAGCGGGATGATGTCTCTAATGATGCTTTTCAACAGGATGAAACCACTGATGGTGTTGGGGTAGTGATCCAAGATAATGATGTTCAATACAGCAGGGATGATATGGATCCTGAGATCATTTTCAATGATCAGCTAATGGCAGAGAATTTAGTTCACAATGATGACGAGGACGACACAATCATAGAGTATAATGATGATGAAGATGATGAACTGCATAGACAACCTGATGTTGATGCAGATCCTGATATAGATTATGATATGTAGTGTTCAATTTTTAATTATATGGACAAGTGTTATAATTTAATAATAAATTGCTTGGTTTACATTGCATGGCATTGTTTTTCAAATTTCATAGCATTGTTTCTCTATTTCATTTCATTTAATTATATGCCATATGTACAGTTACAAAGATGTCCAGAAACGGTAAATCATTTCTGAAGCCTGGTGGCTTAGTCCAGAAGATGACGAAATATGAGAAGGATAGGGAAAAAAAATCCAGAAAAATAAAATCAGATTTGATGCTCTAGGGACAAAGTCCCTCAAGAATTCAATGTTTGGTTCTATTGAAAAGGACAATAGTGAAAGTTGTAGGGTGGGAAAGAGAAAAGTGGGTGAAACTGATAATGACGAGGACTATCAACCACTTGATGATGATGAAGGACTGAGTTCTTCAAGTGATAATGGCGAGCCTTTTGATTCTCAAGTGATTGAGGTAATAAATGTGTGTTTAAAAAGTAATTTCTCTATTTTTTCCACTTGTTATATTACTTGTGGTATGTTTAGTTATTTCAAATTTATTTTTTATTAAGCAACCTTAAATTATTGAAAATGTACTAACAATTCTTTTTTATATTATGTCAGGATATTCATATGGGTCCTGGTAGGAAAACAAATAGGTGTGCAGCTCGCCTAATAGCTTCACAAACACCTAGGGAAAAAAGAAGTACTGTTGATGAAGATACACTTACTCTTCCGAGACGACCTGTAACTGCACAAGTTAATCATTCAGAGAGCACACCTGAGGTCTCGACCCAACCTATCCATCTTCCCGCCTTACATACTAGGCCTAATCAGGTCTCTACCTCCGCCACTCAACCTGACCACCTTTCAAGTCCATGTACTGTGACTAATAGTGGAGGTGAGAAATAAATGACCACTTAAATGAAATGATAATTTCTTATCTCAATGTTTATTTAGTGCATTCATGTTTTATGTCGACTAAATTGAATAAAATTTTGGTCATAATAGCATCAATTCCAGTTTTGGGCAAGAAACGTGTACGAGGACCGACCCGAGGAAAGAATGTTGAGAAGATTAGAAAGGAACGTGGTGATCGAATACCCGTTACACTTAACCGTTTGACCAAAGCAATAGAAGGGGAATACGCCACACCGCTAGCAGCTGCTCTTGGTCAACAAATTCGAGTTCATGCCCCAGTTCGAAATGATGGATGGCTAGAAATTGCCTTTGGGTTAAGAGAGTCCATTGTTACAAGAGTTGGGGTAATTTGAAATATATGTGTTATATATTTAACATGTTATTTATGTTAATCGCAATGATATATAAAATATATTGAATTTTATTATTTCCAAGTGCAGCAAACTTTTGACTTTGGGGACTACAATAATGATGTGGATGTGAGATGTATTATTGATCATAAGTGCCAAACTTTGTACAGTGAATGGAAAAGTGGATTACACATACACTACAAATCCCTTAAAGAAGACAATGTATCTGACCTCAAAAGTCAGATACTATATCCTTGTACAAAGGATGATTGGGAATGGATGATTGACAATTTGTGGGAAACTGATGATTGGAAGGTATTTATAAAAATATTTACTAGAGTAACATCCTCCTGTATATTAATACCTAATTTTTTTTTTAATTTGTAGGTAAAGTCAGAGAATATGATGAAAGCGAGAGGTTGTGTGAAGTATAATCATACGAGCGGCTCGAGATCATTTGCATCGCGAGCATCTAACATTGTAAGTGTAGATTTACAAATTTGAACATACTAAATTATAAATACAGAATTTTTTGATTGACTAGAAAATCTAATGAAATGAAAGGTACAAGGAAGCAAACCGACTATTACGAAACTATTCGAGGACACCCACAAACGTCACCGACATGGGGGGGTGTGGATAAATAACACAGCTGAGGAACATCATGTAACCATAACTATTTCAATTTCAATAATAAATGTTTGCATTTTGATATTATGTTTTAAGCTTATATATGTTTCATTCATAGGCCACTATGGTTTCAAAGATCGCTGAGCAATCTCAACCTAGTGTCACACATCCATTGTCTGAGGAGCAGATTTCTAGAGAAGTACTTGGGAAGAGGTCGGTCTTCTTGAAGGGATACGGGATCCGCAAGGACAGTACTTCATCTTCTACACATTTTGAGGCTCCTAACTCCGAGGTGATTGTTCTTCAACAGCAGTTAGTTGACCAGCGACAACAATTAGCTGACCAAGGAAAGCAGTTAGTTGACCAGGCTCAAAACATGAGTACAATGCAAACTATCATTCAAATGTTGGTAGCAAAAAATGGGATAGATCTAGCAAACATTCCGGGGTTAGTTCCAAGCAACAATGTCGGGGAGGATGCATCGAATGTAAGGGAGGATGAAACTTCTCTCGGTTGAAATAGAGGTAAATTTGACACCTCATTAAATTGATTTACTTTATTTAACCAATCCTAACATGTGTCAACAATATAAAATTAGATAAACTTTGTATTACAATCCTAGCATTACAACCTTTGTATGCAATAGCTTGATAAAACAATAGCTTCACAACAATTTTCTGATTAATTTTAACTATATTCGTATATTATTGTTGAAGTTAATGCATTAATAAAATGCTCATGCTTTTATCCTTTGTTCACAGGTTGGTGATGGATGTTCATGGCTCAGTAGTGATATATATCTTTTTGCACGTTGGCATTCATTTAATTTTTCTTTGTTTCGTTTTATAGGTTTTTCTGTTGAATGTTTATATACTTTTTGGAATTATTATGTTTGGGATTGTTGGATATAGTTAGACGCATTTTAGGATTCTTATGTTTAGTACAGTTGGATATTTGAATAAAATTTGGGATATTGAAATGCATTTGATATTAATTTGGTTACATTACTAATTGTTATGATGTATTCAGTTTAGTTTTTACGCAATGTTATGTAAAGGTTTTTTTGGAATGTTTTATAGAGAAATATGGGTTGCTTAGAAATACGCGTTCAGGAAATGGATCAATTAGGGTTTAGGTGTAGTATGAATTGCTAAGTAATAATAGGTCATGGGAAGCTAAGATTGAATTTGTTTTAGATGGCTAGGCTGACAATATTTTAATCATCAGGAAAAAAGTATAGGGTGTCAATGTGTCTTATTGTATCTTGCATTTTTTATATTCATTTGCAGTAACTTGTTTTCAAATTCTTTTTTTGTTCCCAAAAGAAAGAAAAAATGGCTTCATCTTTAATTCTGCTGCTGCTGCTGCTGCTGCTGCCGTGGTGGCTGCTGCTTGTTGTGGCTGCTGCTGCTGCTGCTGCTGCTGCTGTTGCTGCAATGTTGCTGTGAGGCGTGCATACTGCCAATCCATCTAATGAAGAACTAGCTGAGTCAGCAGTTGTGATATGTGAAACTTCTGCAACATGTGGTGTGGTGTGCTGTGTATACAACTAAGGAAGTGAATGGTTTTCGGAATGTGGGTGAAGTTGCACCTGTCGGACATGCATATTGAAGGGAAGGTAACAACTAGTATATTCTTATTTTTAGACTAGACTGTAGAAGAGTCCATGTAACACTGCAAAAAATACATTCTCAGAAGCTCCGGACACCTATCAATGTCTATTTTTTTGTATTAAGCTTCCCTTATGAAAAAAAGTATATGTTGGGACATTATTTAAGTCAAATAGAGAGGGTGGGAAAAATTTAAGTGACTGATGCTTTGGTTGATGTCTGCTGACAGGTGCCTATTCACTTCCATAATGGTGGTTGAATTTGATTTTTTGTTTTTGATTTTATTTTTTTTCCTTTCTCAGGTTGTTGAGCGGTTCCAAGAATTGTTTGCTAAGACAAAGTATAAGGAGGCTGCAGAACTTGCTGCAGAGTCACCGCAAGGAATTCTCCGCACTTCTGACACTGTTGCTAAATTTCAGGTTTTATTAACATGATATCAGCCCTAACCATTTGTCTTCAGAATGTGTAAATGTCAAGGCCCTCATTTACTCTTTATGCTTTGTAGAGTGTTCCAGTGCAAGCTAGGCAAACACCTCCTTTGCTGCAGTACTTTGGAACTCTTTTAACTAGGGGAAAGCTCAATGCTTTTGAGTCATTGGAACTATCTCGTCTTGTTGTAAATCAGAACAAAAAGAATCTTTTGGAGAATTGGTTGGCAGAGGACAAACTTGAATGTAGCGAGGAGCTTGAAGATCTTGTGAAGGTTTGATTTGGAAGATTGAACTTTTCATGATGTTTATTGTGCTATAGTTCTTATACAAAACTTTTCTGTAATCCTTTGTTTTTAATCTCTCTGTTTCAAATTTACTCATTGTTTAAACTATACTTACAAAAATTTACCTGAAATGAAAATAATTTCCCAAAGTCGCTTGTTCTATATTATTTATCAGATCTGTTCTATTGGAATTTCTGATGTAATGAATCCTGTTTCTATTGCAGACAGTGGATAATGACCTTGCACTGAAAATTTACATTAAAGCAAGAGTGACTCCAAAAGTTGTTACTGCGTTTGCTGAGAAGAGGGAGTTTGACAAAATTCTCATATACTCAAAGCAGGTGACATGCTTATGCAATTACAATCATTCAAATAATTTCATATGTTTTATTTTAATTTCACATGTTCAAAATATGGATACTAAAGATATTATTTTTATTTATCATTTTATAAACTACACATAAACTAGGAGTACCATTATTTCTGGAATTGATCGGAGGCATTGTCACTCCTGTAATTGATATTTGTCACATCATTCTTCAACCACACTCTCTGATATGGTGAAAATGAATTACAAAGTAAATAAACCATGAATTTGTGACAAGTTATTTACTTGAAAGTGTTGCTACCCAAAATCGCTTGGAAGAATCTACTGTTGCACATAAATAACTACTATGCTCTCATAAGGCACACTTGAAAATTATATAGATTTCCACATTTAATTAATTTGAGTCTCTTCCCAAAGAATAATGCTTCTTCATCTTTACCCAAAATCGCTTGGAAGAATCTACTGTTGCACATAAATAACTACTATCTATATAATAAAGCAGAACGGATTTTGAAAATATGTTAGACACAATTGTCCTACTAGGACATTTCAAGGGTCATGATTCATTTGTATATTCACATGGATGGCTCAGATAACCCCCTTAATTTTATATCAATCCTAAATATATATCTTCCCGCCCAAAGAGTTAGCCTCCTCCTTCCCCACGTCTCCCCTCTATTCTATCTTTATTTCTCTCTTCTCACCTTCCCGCTTGCACACGTCTCTCATGCCTTCTATCTTTATCCCTCTCCCTTCTCTGTTCTCGTCAGTTTGTTCTTGCGACGCTCCTCTTCATCACCACTCACAATCTGATCATTTATTATTGTAACCGACGCTCCTCTTCATCACAAGGTATTCCTGTCCTCCTCCCTCTCTCTGTTGTATTTTTTGAATGATCAAGAACAGATTGTAGAACAGATTAAATGAGATCAGATTGTAGAAATTGATTTGCAGAAACTAATTCAATTCCACTTTAATCAGTTTGTTCTTGCGATCAGATTCCGATTATTTGATCCAGAAACCAAACCGACAAGAAGATTGACAACATCATTAGCTGCTGCAAGCTCCACTTGCTGTTCCACTTCTGTAATTTCTGAAAAGCACAAACACCAGATTCCACTGCCGTACCCATATCAGATTGAATCAGTGATATAAAAGGCACTATGCATTCAGAGGCAATTGGCATTTCTCTGAGTTTTGGATTACCAAAAAGAACAAAACAGAGCTGTGCATCATTTGTCTTTAGTAAAGACCCAGATTAAAACTAGATGGCTCAACCTCATGTAGATTCAGGGGAAAAAAAATTAAAAATAAAAATAGTCGAGCCAAATTCAGAAAATACCCAGATTAAATCATATTTTCTGTTGAATTTGGTTATATAATTCATATTCTATCATTATTTGTCTGTTTATTTTGTTTGTTTATCTCGATAAAAAAAAAGATATTTGTTTGTTTATGAATGGTTTTGATCTGTGCAACAAATTAACAGAGAGAATAAAGGAAGCAAAGGAATAATGGGAGACAAAAGAGATTTTGTTAGCATGTTGTGTTCATTGGAAAGTGGAGAAAAGAAAGAATTAAGAAGCACAAAACAAAGAGGGCTATAGAGATTTTTGTGACAGGGAATGGGGATAGGGAAATGGGTTTGTTTTATTATTTTTTTATGTTTAGAAATTATTAATTACAATTGGATTAATTGAAGGAACTTATCTCTCAATTTTCACTCATCATCAGTCATATGAAAATATCACTATCTTTCATTATGTATTAATTGCTTGATCGAAGGTTTTTGACAATTTTAGTAATATTTTAGCTCTATAATGTCATTAGGAGTTTGGGATATACTGATTTCTGTATTTTTCTTGAATTGATTGAGACCCGGACAAGAACAGGGTTATGCAGTTTTGACTTTTATTTCCAATAACCAAAAAGTGGCAGCTGATATATTTATATGCAAACGGTAGCTAAAGAGGCATGTAATCATAATAATTGTGCAGTTAGTAAAGCTATTGTGGAGTAACATCGTTGTTGTCTTTACCGATCCGGGTAGTGTGCCACCTAATTGGAGGCCTGTGTCGGATGAGGAGAGAGGTGAGACCGATCCATTGACTGAGGCAGAATTTGGTGGTATGTCAGCAAACCTAGTGAATCCAAGGATCCGTTATTGTCGGAAGTGCAACCAGCTAAAACCACCTCGGTGCCATCATTGTTCTGTTTGTGAGTTCGTATACCCAATTCTTCTTGAGACTGTTTTCTTTTCCAATTGTTTCAGAGAAAATAAATCAGATATATTATTCTTTTTTTTCTGTATATTATTTTCAGGTGGGAGGTGTGTGCTAAAAATGGACCATCATTGTGTGTGGGTTGTCAATTGTGTGGGGGCATTGAACTGAAACCCAAGAAATCGCCCAACAGAGGAGCCAGCTTTTGGAGACGGAGTATAGGAATAAGATTCTTGATAACCTATTTGAGGTATGTGCTTATTTGTCATTTTGATTAATTAGGTACTGATGGAAATGTGTTTTTTTTTTCCTTCCAAACATTCATTGTTGGTTAATACATTCGGTTGTATTCACGTGTAAAAGGGCACGAGAATGTAACAACACAATCCTTTGTGAACTTAATATTTTTGTTTGACTTTTGGTTATGATATCAAAGCATTTTGACATCAATTGATATTTGGTGCCAGATTAAAGCATTCTTGAATCAGTGGTTGACGAAGTTGACAAATAATGAAACTCTGTCCTTGCAACATCAAGTCCAGGCAGTTGCTCCTTTAGTGTTGCAGCAGTACTCTTCTGATACAATTCAGAAGATGTTGCTTGATGTTTTTTTGGCCATCTCCTCACTAACAAATAGAAAAACCAGGGATCAGATCATGATTCTCAACTCAAAAAGGTGCAGCATTCTTGTTTTTCAACAAGCTTTATACCTTGTCCATTTCCTTCACTGTCAAATTTCTTCTCCCCCACTTATTGTTTACGACACCAATCTGTATTGAGAATTCACAAATGACAATTATATTATATTTACATGACTTTTCTTTTGGTATTTGATTGATGCATATTTTGTGCGATCCCAATAAGTCTTTGCATTTTTGGTTGTTGTTAGGAATCAACTGTCTATTGTTATGACCGATTCAGAAGTTTTCTGTCCTGATCTTGATGGTTTTTGCCCAGTAACTGCAGTTTGCTTGATTATCCCTCTCCCTCCAGTTGTGCACATTACTTGTATTTTGGTTTCATGATGCCATGCTTATTATTCCTAATGAGTTGTGACAATATCAAGTATTGACTGTAGTGTGCATCTAATTTTCAGATTTCTCGATAGACTAGTGAGTACACTAGAGGAAAAGAAACACCACCAAGTGAAGTTAAAGGAGGGGTTGAAGGACTTGTTTGCCAAACGGATGGAGCTGCAGAATTCATTGACATCATTGTGGCCAAAGCAGGTGAGTTCATTCCTTTGTTGCTTAATTTAAGACACAGTGCTTTTGTCCTTTCATATTATTCTTGGTTTTTGATTTTTTATTTATAAAGGTTCCCTTTACCAAGGCTGAAAGCAATTTTGGTTTTAAAAGGATATAATTAGTTGGAGATATAACTATTTGGCTTTTGCTTGAGTTTTATTAAACATCATACTTGTATAAGAAAAGAGTCAATGGAATATTTTATCTGATGACAGAGTGCATCTATAGGATTATGTTTGTTCACGTTATTATGACTTTGACAATTCACATGGTGCTGTTGAATCTGTATCTGTTGGTGAAATCAGAGTCAGCTTACGGCAGTCATTGGTTAAACTTGGGGTTGGTTTTATTTCTAAGGACCTGAAACTGCAGGTGTTAATATGTGATTTAGAAGTTGTAATGAGACCTTCAGGTAAAAGCACACAAAAAAGTCAAAATATGCTGCTTGTCCTTTTCAAAGTTAGCTTTGTGGAATTTCTTGTTTTATATTGTTCAAATTCTTACTGCAACTACATCCTCAAATCATTTGTGTAGCTTACAGTTTACAATTACAATGGAGGTCCATGTTATCGGTGCCTATTTCCAACTCCACCTCCTACGACAGCATGTCAAAGATGCTCTGATAGTGGTGTTCTGGGAATCGGTAAGCCATTAATATGTTGTGTCTTAGTCCATTCAATTAGAAATATTGCCTACAATCTTGAATTTAAAGAGAGAAAAATCTGAGTTTGCCTGGGAGTTGTCCTTTAGCTGTCTATCCTTGTTTGCATTTCTCAAGTCCCTTGCATATTTCTAGTTTATCTCGTTACTAGAATTTTGATATATTAGCAAGAAGAATGGGTATTCACAAAAGGGGAATGTACGAGTGATGGACCTGATGGTCAATAACACCCAACTCTACATTTGATGGCTTTGTCCCAATTGCATAAGTTTTGAAAGGTGAAGTTTAAAGTTTTTTGTTGTTGTATTCCTAGCCATATTTCTAATTTATCTCATTGTGAAATTTTTGATATATTATAAATGGGTATCACAAAAGGGAATGTAAGTAAGAGTGATGTCAAGAACTCTAATTCGACTCGATTTTTTGGATGATGTAATTCGTTAGGCGAGTTTTGTTTCCTTCTATTGGTTATTTTGTTTTAGTTGCATCATCTTGATGCTTTCTCAATTAAATTTATTATTTATCAAAAAAAAGAACTCCAATTCGACTCTACTTTCAAAGCCATAATCTCAATTGCTTTAAGTTTTGAAAAATGAAGTCATAATTTTTTTTTTATATTTTTTTTGGTTTCATTCCATAATCATGGATGTAATCACTTTAATACATTACCAATGTTGACTACCACAACCTGGATGAGCCAAAATTTATGACAGCTCACTGAAAGGTGAAGGCATAGCAAAGGATTGCGGGGTTCTTTTAGAGATTGGGACAAGATCTCAGAAAACCTCAGAGCACAGTGAATAACTGAGAAGATGATCTGCAGATTCTCAGTGCCTTGCAGGATTTGCTGACAACATTGCATATTGTGGTCGTGTCATGATTTGTGTTCTTTTTCCTCAGCCAGCAGTTTTTTAGTTGCCTAACCCGGTACTTTGTCTTTATGTGGTGGACCTTGAACTTGCTATGGGAAGGCATAGGATGACACTAAGAAAGATGCTTTAATGTGCAAGCTATTGTGTACATATTTGGAGTCTCCAGTCCAGTCCTTATTTCCTTGCAAATTCACCTGGCTTGCAAGTGATGTATTTCTTTTATTTATTTGCTCTACTTTTATATAATTTTACAGTTCCTGGTATTATTGGCTGCCACCAAGCCCTTGAAGCTATAAAGATTGCAAGTGATGTTGGTGAACCACTCTCAAGAAGGATGCTTCTTTTTGATGCATTGACTGCACAGATTCGTATCGTATGTTTTAAAAATTTTCAGTTTTCTATTGATAAATTCTCTACTCTATATTTATTTTTTATTTTTCTTCCAGCATAAACATCCTCTATATTTGTTGAACTTAGTGGACATGCCCAGTCAATTCCCCTTTTTTTTCAATTAGCCTTGTACCATGATTTTGCTTAGGTCAAGATCAGAGGGAGGTCATCACAATGTGAAGTTTGTGGAGAAAATGCGACATTCACCGAAAAGCAATTTCAAGAGTTTGACTATGAGAAATTCACACAATCTTCCCTGTCCATAGTATGTTTATGTTCTTTTATTTCCATTTTAGGCTGCACATTGTGTTTTGATTAGCTTGCTTGAGATTTATTTGGTCTTAAAAAGTGAATTTTTTTATGTTTTCCTCTACCACAACTTCTTGTTTCATAAATAGATACGAAGATTTTTGTCTGTGAACTATTGAACTGGCTTAAGATAAAATTCATCTCTTGTGTGTTACCCAAGTTGTCATACACTCTAAATATCAAAATGGAATTTACAATTTACAAGCCCAAGTCTCTCTCAATCTTTCTGAAGTGCTTCTTTTATAAACCCAGGGATCCGTATTTCATTGTGGAGTTCTATATTGATTCTCTTTCCTTGTTTTAACTTTTGATACTTGCTAGTGTAGAATTTATTCAAGACTAAAGCCTAGAGAAACAACCAAATCTCATGAGAACGTGGACATAACAAATCACATATTGCAACATAATGCACGTACCGTATTGTTCTATGTGTGAGATACTAAGCATATTTTATGACCTGAATGCATTTATTAGCATTTGTTGTAATACTAATGCCATCAAACTTGCTAGCTGGTTTATTGTCTATTTGGTTTTATAGATCAGTCTGTTGGGTGCATAAATTTCCTCTTATCTTCCTCACCCTCGTGTGACCATCTTCCGATTGATTGCAGACTCCATTGAAGCAAGACCTACTTCCTACAGAAGCTAGAATAAGCAGCAAGGAATACAAAAAGAGAGTTGTTAACAATCTCAAGATTTTAATTGTGCATTACTCGGGTATTTTATTGTAGGGATGGATGTATATATTTTTTTCTTTTCTTTCCCCACTAGCAGATGGTGGGGGAAGGAGGTCAATGTTTCTAATCTTGTTTACTGGTACCTTCATTATTGAAGCATTTTGTTGACTTTCTCATGACTAATTTAATGAGTTGAGTGTAATAAATTTGCCACTAATGGTTCTGAGTGAAATGATTCAACTTTGTTTCATATTTCAGTGCACCAGTCACATTCTAAAGCAGTGAAGAGAGCCATCAGTGAACATTGTGGTGTATGGACAATCTCAATGCTTAGTTACTTTTGCTGTTTTCAGTGCATTGGTATAAGGTTAGCTTGGTAAACATTGTGGTGTACTTGAATTGAGTGTTTTTATATAACTCACTCTCCTAGTGTAAACATGACAGCCAGTGAATTAGTTTGAATTTTTACTTAACTTCTGTTAACCTGATGGCTTAAAAGTTACTAAGAATTGTATAGTTTTGAGGGCTGTTTGAACAATTGATGGATGGCAAACATGGTAAACTGATTTCTGAGCATTTTGTATAGTTTTGTTGCTGGTTTTGTTTGATTTGTTTTCTGACTGTTCTGGTAAATGAGGTAAACTGCTGCGTCAATTCTGATTTGGTTCTATGATTTTGTTTGGGTTGCTGAGTTGAAATGGTTTTCTAAACTGGTGATGATCTATGTTGAATCAGTTTGCTGATCTGCTATACTAATCTGCTATTCTTCTGGTGCTGCTGTGATGTTGCTGCTGTTGCTGAGATGCTGTGGTGATGCTGCTGTGATGGTGATTGTTACGATGAGGTGCTACGGTGTTGTTGGATGTTTCCTGGTGTTGTTGATGTTTGGAAGGGTGCAGGACTTTTTGTCCAATCTGTAATAGATCAGGTTTTCATTAATGCGGGTTGTCATTAGGTGTAAGTTCGAGCAACTGCTGGTGTTTTGGATGGAAGGGTATGGAGGGGGTATTTTGTGTGATTTGATATCAATGTTATTAGTTTTTTATAGTGGTGCTTGAGGGATGCCTCTTGTAAAACTATAAATCTTTTAAAAAATTATAAATGAGTTTCAATTATTTTTGCCGCTGCAAATTTGTCGTTAAAAAGTAAAGCTTTCTCGACAAATAACTTGTCGGTAAATGTGTAGCCAAAGATTTATTTTTGCCCACTCATATTGTGTTACTAAAAGTGTATTTTTTGCCAATGCCAATTTGTCGTTGCCAAAACTAAAGCTTTATCGACAACCAAATCGTTGGCAAATGGCAACATTTACCGACGTAAATGTGCCGCTAAAAGTTACTTTTCCCCACTCATATTGTGTTGGTAGAAGTGTATTTTTTGCCAATGCCAATTTATCGTTGCCAAAAGTAAAGCTTTAGCGACAAAAAAATCATCGGCAAATGGCAACATTTACCCACGTAAATGTGTCGCCAAATGTTTACTTTTGCCGACGCATAGTTGTTGCTAAAAGTATATTTTTTGCCCATGCAAATTTGTGTCGCGAAAAGTGCCACACAATCATCATATTTGAATGACTTTTACCAACGCAAGGTAAATTGCCGACGATGGATGGAGGCTTTAGTGACGACTATGTTCGTCGCTAAAGGTATTACTTTTACCAATGCAATGATAATTTCGTCGGCAAAAACTTTTGCCAACTCACTTTTGCCTACGGGTTGCCAATGTAGCTTTGTGTGTCGGCAAAACTCTTTGCCAACGAATTTTTCCTTTTAGCAACATATTTTGTTGTGTTGCGAAAAATGCAATTTCTTGTAGTGCCTTAAGAAACTTGAATTCAAGGTGTTAACGCCCCAAAATCACCAAACGATGTCGGTTTAGCACGAAACTTGGCACACACGACCGCCTAGGCACGAGAGACTTGTGGGAGAAGACGGGGCTTGAACCGGGTTACCGGTTTGGGAGTTAGAGTCGAATATCACTCTAGGCAAACTAGTTCCTTAAGAAACTTGAATTCGAGGTGTTGATGCCTCAAAATCACCAAACGGCGTCGGTTTAGCATGAAACTTGGCACACACGACCGCCTAGGCATGAGAGACTTGTGGGAGAAGACGGGACTCGAATCAGGTTCCCGGATTGGGAGTTAGAGCCGGATTTCACTTTAGGCAAACTTGTTCCTTAAGAAACTTGAATTCAAGGTGTCGACGGCCCAAAATCACCAAACGACGTCAGTTTAGCATGAAATTTGGCACACACGACCGTCTAGGCACAAGAGACTTGTGGGAGAAGACGGGACTCGAATCGAGTTCCCAGTTTAGGAGTTAGAGTCGGATATCACTCTAGGCAAACTAGTTCCTTAAGAAACTTGAATTCGAGGTGTTGACACCTCAAAATCACCAAACGACATCGGTTTAGCACGAAACTTGGCACACACGACCGCCTAGGCACGATAGACTTGTTAGAGAAAACGGGACTCCAATCGGGTTCCCGGTTTGGGAGTTAGAACCGGATTTCGGATTACGCAAAGTAGTTCCTTAAGAAACTTGAATTCGAGGTGTTGACGGCCCAAAATCACCAAACGACGTCGGTTTAGCACGAAACTTGGCACACACGACCGCCTAGGCACGAGAGACTTGTGGGAGAAGACGGGACTCCAATCGGGTTTCTAGTTTGAGAGTTATAGTCGGATTTCTGTCTAGCCAAAATTATTTACTAAACTATCTTTGTAATTATATACTAGTTAATTTTTTTATGTTTTTCTGTAATTAAACTATTAACACAATTATATTGTCATTAATTATTTTTATTTTGTTATTTTCAGATATTTCCTAAGTAGCAGTTTGCTTCTTATGAAATGCAGGCGTGTAAAGATTATGACTAACTTTTGTTTTTGTAACCCACGGAAAACTTTTGTTTTTGATTTACGTTATTTAGATTTGTGAACAACATTATGTATGTATTATGCAACATTATGTAGTGGGATAATTTTGCTGATGTGTTGCTATGAATGGAAGAATATTTTAATTATGGATTAATTTTTATTTATATACTGGACTTTTTATATTATTATGTAATTATCGGTTTTTTTTTTAGTTATTTTTCATTTAATACAGGTCATTTTCATATTTTTAATAATTTTATTACAGTTTTTTTTTTTTTTTTATTACAGTTTTTTTTTTTTTGAGACGGCACCATACACACCGTCTCAAAAAGAAAAATAGAATCAGGGTTTTTTGCGACGGTAGAAATGCTGTTGCAAAAGATAGGGGAATTGGTTGAAAAGGAAGACCTTTAGCGACGGTGTTATTTGCCGTCGCCAATAGTACTTTAGCGACGGCATTAGGTGCTGACTCAAATAACCCTTTAGCGACGGTATTTTTGTCGTCGCAAATAACCCTTTGAGCGACGGCAACACAGTGTCGTCTTAAAAAAACTCAGATTTTCACGCGTTAATACCGACAGCATTTTTCCGTCACAAAAAAAAAGGCGACGGCGTTATACCGTTGCTAAAAGCCTTTTGCAACCCCTTTTGTTGCAACTCCCCACTTGCCATCGCAAAAAGCCAGTTGCCGTCGCAAAAAATCTTTTGAGACGGCGTTTTGTGTATTTGCGACAGCATTTTGCCGTCGTAAAAAAGCAATTTTTTTGTAGTGATACAACTTGTTTTTTGCTAATTGCTAAATGCCACTCTGTACTTGTAATTTTGTGAAAATTCCTACTTTGCCTCCATAAAATAAAAAGTTACATATTGCACCTCTAGTTTGTAAAAATTACACTATAATATAGTTTTGTAAAATAAATTAGGACATTTGGCCTAGTGATTATGTAACACCATTGGTGGTGTGAGATTGCGAGTTTAAATTCTATGGAAAGAAGTTTGATACTTTTTATAGTAGTTTATTTTTCCTTTTTTATAGGGTTGCATGTAATTAGTAGTGGTTGTTGAACATGAGTTGGTTTATTAGTTGTCAAGCGTTTTTTTCCTTTCTAGTTATTATGGGCTACTGGTTTATCTGATAATATAAATATTTTTTATATTTGTCATTACTGTTCTGTTTATTGAAAGAAAAAAGAAGTAGTTTTGCTCTTAGTTTTCACTATATATTGTGCAAAATGTAAATTTTAAAAATTATAAGAAACAAAGTACAATTTTCACAAAACTAAGGATAAAAAAGTATAATTTTTAATTTTACAAAGTATCAAAGTGCAACTTTAATAGAACTAGGGGCAAAGTAATCATTAATTCTTATAAAAATCTATAAACATGACTAAAATAGTACATGAAAAAACATTTTGAGTGATGGCAAACCAAAACAAAAGGAAGAGTATATAATTAAGACCTATCATTTGTTTTTAAACTAAGAATAAATCAAATTAGTTTAGAATTTTAGAACTGAATAAATTTATAAAGTTGATCAGATTATATATAGATATCCAACAAATGGTTTCCTCAATTATCCTTAATTTTAGGTCCAATTTAAAGGGATGATGATTGCATCGACACATAGAACACCTTCGTTGCCAAAGTTATTTTCTATATATATGAGAATAATCAAATCTATCCCATATGCAATTTCTCAATCACTAAATTAATTTTGATTATTTTAAATTTTTGCGAGTGTAGTCAAAGGTGAAGTGCTTGGGAAAATTTAGTCATCCAAATCTAGTAAAGCTGTTGGGTTATTGTTGGGAAGATGATCAATTGCTCCTAATTTATGAATACATGCAAAAAGGAAGCTTAGAAAGCCACCTTTTCAAGAGTGAGCAACACTTTTACTTCAACCAAACCAAAGCCCTTCATTTCACATGCATTAATTCATTAAAATGTGTTGATCTAAAAAATACAAAATTGTTTTCAAAAAATAACAAAGTGTTGTGTATATATGTTGCAATGTTGTGAATGGTGCAGGGGGTTTAGAACCACTTTCATGGAAGACAAGGCTTAATATAGCTATTGGAGCAACTCAAGGCCTCGCATTCTTGCATATGACAGAGAAGCAAGTCATCTACCGCAATTTTAAGGCTTCCAATATATTGCTTGACGGGGTAAATGAAGTTAAATTAAACTTATTAATTGACCTCTTTGTGCATTACCGTATAGATAGATTGATTTGCCATTAATTTGTTTAAAAGGCTCAAGTCGTCTCAACTTCATATTTAAACTTGAGAAAAGCTAAGCCCAACCCTTTTTATATCTCTAGTGCTAATTTCCATCAATCTCGTTGATTTTTGTAGGACTTCAATGCAAAGGTTTCAGATTTTGGGTTGGCAAAGTTAGGTCCCATATATGGCAATTC